TAGCTTGATGCGGTAAATGGCAAAACTCACTGATAATGCTGACTATGATGCCTGCGAAATGTTTAAGAGTGTACCAAGTCCACTGTCTGATGCTGGGAATCATGAAAACTACTATAGCAGACAGCTTCGGACTAGTAGCGCTCTACATAGTGGCCCCGACAATAATACCAAGTTGCGACAACGAGGTCAACCCATTTCTATACTTCGAAAGGAGACTTCGACCATACCAGAGGCCACAACATCTTGGTCTTCATATCTTCAAGACTAAGTGAAATTTAATGGTGCCATGAGTTCTACAAATATTTTTTATTTAAGCGTTGGTGTTCTAGACTACCGGTAGATCATATATACGAGATGTATTCACTTTATTTTATTTAAGATGATGAAGGACTGGAATTTGAATTTTTCCCCTCAATGATATGAGTGGCCTCTATTATTTCATTGAATTTTATATAATCTCGCTTCTTAAAAAATATTTTCATCCGAGCTGGAGTAGACTTCACTTTCCACCTCGCCTAAACTGCTCTCATCAGTACCCCAAGTGAGACTCGAACGATGACAGTGCAATGTATAATCTAGAAACTTTAACCACTACGCCGCATTACCACTAGTGCCTATCGGTCGTGGAACAGATGCGAATTTCAAAGAACGACAGGCATTTTGCCATATCACCTTCTGCAGTGGGATTGTCGATGAATCAAATTTATGTTTAATGAGAAGGCTAAGGCGTTGTTGAAACGACAGTCCACGTATGCCTTGATGAGAAGACATTTTGGGAAGCAACGCTGTTTAAGATGCAATGCAAACGTAAGGTCTATTCATAGCTTTGTGGAAAAATTGAACTGTCAGTCTTTCGCTACCTAAACGCAATTGAGTGAATACATCTCCTACTCATATAACTGAGATATATACATATATATATATATATATGTATATATATGTATATATATGTATATATATGTATATATATGTATATATATGTATATATATGTATATATATGTATATATGCATGTGTGTATAATACAGTTAAAGAGCATTACTTAAAAATGCATTATCATTTGTATTCAGAAGAGAGTTATTTCAACTTTCTAAGCCCCAGAAACTGTCACTCAAATTAGCCGTGTACATCCCCTCTAGTTGGCTTGGATTTTGGAATCTATGAGAATAATTCATAAGCATGACCTTATCACATTTTTACAATGAGTGATTTGCCATAGCAGATATAGTGTAGATTACCACAAGATTTGGCCAAGAGCCTGTAACTAGTGTAATTTCTTAGTTAGCATGTTAGTATTATTGACTAAGTTGCTACTTGAAGCTAGAATGAAATCCGGCTCTGACGCTGTCCTTCATATAAAGTTCAGAGTAATGCATCTAACGAGAGATAATTCTTCGTCCTTGGTGAAAATAGACTGAGCTTTTGTTCGTCATGTGACAGAGATAATCGAGGCCGGATCTCATTTTCACAAAAATTTCAACTTCCCACTACGTCAAACGAACTAGTCAGCTCTATTATACATGCTATATATACTTACATCTAAAAAAAGGAATAGCGAATGAGTTGGTTAGTCATTTTTATATAAGACTGAGTATTTTTATCATAGATACGAAAACCAAGATGGTATGGCCTTCTGTTTGGTTACAGTCTTCTTTAGCTTTAAGGGTGAACGGTTGAACAGAAACTCGGTCAAGGAGAGTGACTTCAGTTATCCCTTTGATAAGTTGTAACGCTGTGCTGACGATGCCGACTACGATGCTGGCGAAACGTTTGGGAATGTAGCTAGTCAATGGTCCTAGGATGGAAATCACAAATATTATCAAAGATGACACAGGACTCGCTACGTTCTACAAGATCTCTCAGACGTTCCGTCCAAGTTTGGAAAATGAGGCCGAGCCAACACTAAATAGTTTAATGTTTGAGTGTGGGTGCGTGCGAATGTCAGGGTTCGGAACCGCTGATTATGACGAGGATTAATTATAGCAAAGCATAACATTAATACTAGGTACTCAAGGTCATGTGAGCCAAGAAAAAGCGAAAGTGAGATTCTCTAATCTTGTATGCACTTGTGGTTCGGCTGAAGAGCTCAAACGAGACTGAACGAGAATAAAGTTAGAACCACTACTAAAGCGATTCCGCTTTTTGTTAGTGACGCAGAATCTTTTTCCTTCTTCGGTCTATCAATCAAGCACAAGCCATTTTTAACCGATTTCATGCATTCATTCCGTCCTTTTGGCATACTTTCTAATCTATTAATCTCGATACCCTCTTTATCATGCATTTAGCGGCTGATCCAAAACAACCAACAAGCTGATAGATTTTTCGTATATAAGTAGAGTTTCGAGACTATCAGTAAATCAGTGTAATGAGATGTATTCACCCTATTTCCTTTAAGATGATGAAGGACTGGTAGTAGAATTTTTAAAAAATGAGATGAGTAGAGCTGACACTTTAATTGAAATTCACAAAAGTTGTTCTCATCCAGGGTGAACTGCAGTTTTAACCTCGCATAGGTCTTATCAACACCCCTAGTGGGATTCGAACTTTAAGAGTGCAGCATGTAAGCTTGATACGTTAACCACTCAGCTACATTATCACGAGTTGTCTTGAA